CTGACCATTTGCGTTGCGGCTCCTCTTCCAATAGCCAAACCTTGATAGCTAGATCCGAGCTGTTACAAAAAGTCTGTTTAAATCACTCTACTCATTGAAGTCCCTAGAAAAACCAAATACAAAACGTCCTTCTTAACAATAATGTTCATTTTGCAAAGACTGTCGTTAATTAGCCTCCATTAGATGTCTCTGCCATCACTGACCTCCAGCATTGCAGGCAACTAACCGCAAATGGATCGTTTCATACATCTTTGTGTGTTACTGACATTCAATTCTAGATTTTCAAATGTCAACTGAAGCAGATGTGCCGCTTATCAATTTCCCCTCTTCGGAAAATTCTTTTACTAGAGCATTTCTCGAATTCGTCAAGAATTACGAAGCTACACTTGCCTTTGTAAGTCATTCGGCATGCAACTATAGTTTCTCTTTTTCATGCCTCATATTAGCATTTCTGATTCCAGATCGACCCTGTCACGGAGGAGAAGCTGTCGTTTTGGGATCTAGAAAAGACAGTGAGCCAGATAAGATATCATCTAGACAAGATGGAGCTGAGTAAGGTGAGATCATACTTTGATTCTGATTTACGACTTTGTTTTTCTAATCAGTTTTGAATGCAGTAAACTCTGTTATAGAGTAACATTGTCGCTACACTTTGTGGGAACTCTATTGACTTTATTCTGATGTGTTTGGCAGCAATCGATCTAGGGATTGCCATTGTTCCTATCAATCCTGCTTCTACAGTCTGTAAGACTTGAATATTTTTATAAAAGCATACGTTTTACATTAGCTGCAAACTTCCATACGTATTCTTTAACGTGATAATAAGTGTTTTTGAAGTTTATGCAAGATTAACTGCACAGATAAGTTATACCACCGAAGAAAGTGCATTTCAAATCAAAAGGCACACACAAAGTGCACTACTAAATGCGCTGATAAGTTGGTAATTTGTTTACTTAGATTCTTCGTAATTCTTATTGTGAAGAATAGATCTAAGATTATACTAATAAATTCGCTTTAAAGTATTTTTAGATGAAATCGAAAAGTACCTGGTTTCCTGTGAAATTGACCATGTGATTATTGAGAAAACTTATGAGGACAAGATGAAAAAAGCCCAAGGCAGGCAAGAAAAGTTCTCCAAAATTCCCATCATAGTACTGAGTGACTTACGTGGACTACAAGAAGGAGAGAGAATTCCCACCAAGAA